TTTGAGAGACACAAGGGATTGCCAAGTAGGAGAAACAAACTGCAGATAAAGATGCCTTTAGCAGAGAATCCAAGTAGTGGGTTCAAATACAGGCCCCAAATTGAAGGTACAAGGGTAGATGTTTCAAACTGAAGATGTTTATTTTCAATCAAGCTGCACCTTGAGTGGGAAACATCATAAAACATGTTCAGAAGGCATAGCAGATAAAATTTTCTTTTTTAAAGATCAAGAAGATCAACTAGAGTCAAAGAACATAGAACCTGCATACTGAAGTTCCAATTTTAACATAATATCACTATGACAGACTTTAAAAAATCACACTTCAGGTAATGGTCATATTTTTATAGTATTTTATTCAGTAGAGGTCGCTACGTATCTTTAGACAGAATCATTCTAAAATTATCAAGGGCTTAAACAGATTAATAGCAAGAGAGTTCTTTTAATATGTTCTTTTAGATGGTCAGCCTTATGAGAAAACAACTTACGCTTTTAACTGAGTTCTGGAAAAAATGAAAAGAAAAACTTTAAAAAGGGGCAATTTACACATAATCCAATTCATAATAGAGGAGAAAAGGAAAGAAGGAGAAAGCCTGGCATTTCCATTTCCCATTTCCCTCCCCATTTGAAGTTCTGCACAGACTAAGGTGCAATGAATTCAGAGTCCTGTGATGAATTTGATCTTGATTTGCAGGGAGAGTTGAAATACTCAATCTGTCTGATTGCCACTGCTAACTTAGTGATTGATTATCTAAGAGGTGGTTCCTGGTTTCTGAAAATCCCTAAAACAAAACTAAAGGAGTAGGAGAGCAGAAGAAAACCTTGATGAGTGAAAAGAGCTTCATTACTAGAATCTTTATATTCTGGAGTGGAATGTAATACTGGCCTTGGCAATAGCCCTAAAAATCGATTAAGTAACAGATTTCAGAAATCATCTCTTTCTCCATTATCCAAGGTCATAGCAATGACTCATCTGAAAACTCTAAGCAGCCATTGCTTGAAAAATTATACGGATGGGATTTCAGAAGGGGTTTCAATTTTAAAGAAAATGTCTATTTCACCACAGTCTGATATATCTTTCTTAGGTCGTACCTAATATTTTCCCCAAGTACTGGGTTGTATCTCTCTTTGTATATTTTTTCCAAAGTTATCTTGAAAGAGTATTCATAGAATAAAACTGTACTGCAGAAAGGCAGCTCAGTATTCATCTGATGTCCCTTCTCCTTCACCGTAATTTAGAGATGAGAAAATGGATCCGTAAGATTCTTGGGCTTTCATAGTTCAACAAAGGTGGTGCTAGGTTTGGATCCGAGGTCTGCAGTCCTCCAGGGCTTTCACGCTCTCTCTACTCTCCCATATTGTCTCAGCTTAGTTTGGGATCAAAGCATTTAGCTCTTTACCTTACCCAGGATCTTTTTAGCAGTGTTACATGGCCACATTCTTCTTTTGTTGCTTTCTCTGGTATAGTCCTAACATTCATTGAGACACAGTTTGCAAAAATTGAGTGTGACTCTCACTACTGACCCTTTGCGGCAGTCGCAGGAAAACAGTTTAGCAGTGAAATTGGAGATTTGCATGTTCAGTGTTTCTAATTCAATGCTGTCGATGACACTGGCTTCTACTAGTTATTTAGCACGTATGAATCATGTTATAGTTTCAAAATACTTTTCTATCAATAGCAAGTTCTTAGCATGAATCAGGCTGGTTTTATTATTTCCTCCTTCCCAAAGCAGCTTTCCTGGTCACATCAGATTTGATGAGGTGCAGTAAGTTGCCCAGATGCTTAGCTGTCACAACTCCTAAAGTCTACAGGGTATAAGCCAAAAGTTTTAGATTAAGGGTAGAAACAGTCTTACCTCTGGGATCCCTGGTTACTAAGGACAGGGTTGGTGGGTGAGTGACAAAGGGGTATAGGAAATGGTAGAACATTTTGCATTGGTTGATAGCAAGCCAGGAGTTCAAAGGTATTTTAGGTCATCCCTAGTTGCTAGATTCTTCTTCTTCTTTTTTTTTTTTTTTTAACTTCAGGTGCATACTATATCTGGCATTTCTCCCCATGTTGTCCCTCCCCCCCCCTCCCCTCCCCCTGCAACTCCCCCCAGTGTGTGATGCTCCTCTCCCTGAGTCCACATGTTTTCGATGTTCAACACCCACCTATGAGTGAGAACATACGGTGTTTGGCTTTGCTAGATTCTTTAAAGATCCTGCTTCATCCTGAAAATCTGCCATAGTACAGGGAAGGATGAAGATAGGGAGAAGGGCCATTGGCAGCTGCAGTTCATCCCTGACTGACCCTAACCTTAAGAGGCAACAACTCAAATTCTCAGAGGGAATAGGAGCACTTTAGACCAGCAATACAGCAACACTGGTCTGATCCTAGTTGCTGTTGACAAGAGTGGACACCTTGAATGTGCCCCTTGGTGTGGTGATTCTGAACACAAACCTAGAGGCAATTCCAAACCTGGAATAAGAATAAGGCTCTCCTTGGGCATGACTCAAATAGAAAAGCTCTTTGAATCATATTTGAATCTGAGTCACCCACCAGTCTTTTCTTTGTCCCATAAAGGCAATTCAAGCATTGAGGTATAAACCAGGCTTTTTGATTCTCAGCCTTCCCTTCTCAGCCACCTCCCATCTCAACCACTCCATGGAAACAGTAAGATCTCTTTCAGGCATTTATTTTAAAGAGACTACTTCATAAAAGCAGGTTTTGGGGACTTGGGGGCTTAAGAGAGTTACTAGAAATTATTGTCAGTTCTTGCTGTAAAGCTATCTCTGCCCCTGGGACATATGGCCTGCCAAATGGCCCCATAAATCTGATTATCCTCTTTTCCTCTTTCTCCTTCCATGTTAAAATGCTTCTGATTTACCAACAACTTCAGGAGAGTTAAAACAAATGACACCTAACAGAAATTCTGACCCTCCACTGCCACCAATGCACTGATGATGCATCATCATGAACTGTATTTTTAGAGACCTGCAAGTGTTATATTGGGCTAGCCCATATTTAGGTCATCTTTGTCACCTCCTCCAAATCCCTCTGAAATTTTAAAGACCTTCTCAGAGTCTACAATCACACTTGCTAGAAATTCTTACTTACTTAAACTTACATGTCTCACGCTACTGTTTAATTGTTCTCTCTTGATTTTCAAAGCTCTCTCTGATGGACCTTGAAGTGTAATACATGAATTTCATGCCTATACAAAAAGCTGAATGGATGATTCTGAAACTCATGCATTTAGATCCATTCTCAGTTTCAGCAACAGCCCTTTCATTATCTTATGTGTCTCACACCCCTATTCCACTTTCTCCCCCTCCCTCTTCATAGAATCTCAAATCCTCAGATTATCAAATGAAAAGCATAGTTAATTTTCATCACTTATGAAGAAGGGTATGACCCTTCTTCCATAGAATAGCCATTGCTACAGCCAATTAGGTATAGACTTAGGGTCCAGTTTTATCAGAATTTCCTGTGGTCGAAATGCTCAGAAAATTCAGTGATCATATGGTTGAAAATGATTTGTTACCAAGATCCATTCCTACAATTAAGCATTCTAGTTTCATGGCTGGGGGTAGGAGGTAGTTACATGTTTCTTTGTATCAGAAGAGAAGGAAACAAAAAAACCATCAGAAATAGAGAAATGCAGTTTGAAAAGTAGAAACTATTAAAAGAGCAACAGAAAAACTGTTAAAAGGGAAAACATAGGCTAAAGAAACAGCACGAAGGGCGGGTGTACAACAGCCATGCCATGTGAAAATGTAAGGAATTCTTTATGGATAATTCGGGGATCAGTTAGCCTGAAAACAGCACTGGTTAACCGGAGCTTTGGGTAGTAGGGGTAGATGGAAATTCCTGAACAATTAACCATCTGCTGCGTCTTTTTGTACCCTTAGCACCCAGCTCAGCGCCTGGGCACAGAGTAGCTGTCAATACTTCAATAGTAAATGGAATACTGGCGGAACTACCCTGTTTTCAAACAAACTATAAAATTCTGTGACACAGTCACTTCCAAGCATACGCCGGTACAATCTATGGAGGGATTTGTCGGGGAAGCGACCTAAACCAAAGTATGGGGCATCCATTGATACAGTTCAGCTGGCTGCCTGGGGAAAAAACGCAAAGAGGACGCAAGCTCAGCTGTGGAGATGTGAGACCACCCTTGAGGTTTGTCTTTTACGTTATTGTCGGCCAGGCTCTTGCGTAACTTCTTTCTCCACCTGTCGACCTAAAGGCAACCGAGGAGTTAGCCAGGGGCAGTTCTGTGGTAACAAGAAAGACTCTTGGGGGCAGTACGCCTCCTCTCCCTTGGCGTCTCTCGCCTGCAACTGCCGCGCTGTCTGCCCCTCGTGCCTCTGCAAAGATGCAGAGGTCGAAGCACGTTGCTGTGCGGTGATGAAATGCTCCCCGAATCAGCCTCTGGAGCCCGGCCCCACACACCCACCAGGATCCTGGGGTTGCCTCTAGTATCCCTGTGGGTACTCCCGCCCCCTCCTACCCTCGCCCTCCTAATCCAAGCCCGCTTCTCTGGCTCCTGTCCACCACTTGATGGGCGTTCCTGGGTGGCCGCGGTCCTCTGCGCCCCTGAGCACTAGCAGCGCGGGCCGGGCAGCTGGGAGGGAGGCGGGAAGCCGAGCAGGGGGAGTCCCGGGCTTGCGCGCCGCGGTGCTCCACGAGGGATTTGCCGCCTTCAGCTGCAGCAGCTGCGGCGGCGGCGGCGGCGGGAAGAGGGGTGGAGGGTGGTGAGGAGGGCCGGAGCCCGGGCCAGGAGGGAGGGAGGGGAGCCAGGAGGCTGTGCCAGGCGAGCGGAGGGGTGCTCCGTGCTCCCCCGCCCTCCTTCCGGGAGCGAGGATGCAGACTATGAAACTGGTGCTGCTGGGCTGAGGCGGAGGCAGGGGAGTTGCAGCGCGCGAGGCTCCGTGAGTGTGTCTCCTGCGTGTGGAGAGGCGGGGGGAGGCGGAGGACCAGAAGGAGGAGGAGGAGGAGGAGGAGGAGGAGGGGGAGAATGCCCGGAGCCGCCGCCGCTGCCGCCGCCGCCGCGATGCTCCCGGCTCAGGAGGCTGCCAAGCTATACCACACCAACTATGTGCGGAACTCGCGGGCCATCGGCGTGCTGTGGGCCATCTTCACCATCTGCTTTGCCATCGTCAACGTGGTGTGCTTTATCCAGCCCTACTGGATCGGCGACGGCGTGGACACCCCGCAAGCCGGCTATTTCGGGCTCTTCCACTACTGCATCGGCAACGGCTTCTCCCGGGAGCTGACCTGCAGGGGCAGCTTCACGGACTTCTCCACGCTGCCCTCGGGCGCCTTCAAAGCCGCCTCCTTCTTTATCGGTCTCTCCATGATGCTCATCATCGCCTGCATCGTCTGCTTTACCCTCTTCTTCTTCTGCAACACGGCCACTGTGTACAAGATCTGTGCCTGGATGCAGCTCACCTCAGGTGAGTGCGCGCTCACCTCCGCGGAGGCGGAGGACCCCGGGGCGCCCGAGCCGGGGAGGGGCCAGAGTGGGAGGGACGGGGGCTGTGCGCGCCACGGTGAGCCCAGCCACCTAATCCGCTCAGGCGTCGAGGTGTAGGGGGGCGGGAGCCCAGCGAGGCCGGAACCCCCGGGGTTCCCCAGTCCCGGCGCTGGCTCCTTGTCCCGGGGCTTTCGTGAGCCTCCCAAGTGTGGGGGACGCCACTCAGAGGGACGCACCGGAGGCAAGGCGGTTTTGGGGCCGAGTCCGCTCAGAACTAAGGATGTGGGGCGGAGAAGTGGCCGCTTAGAGAGATGGGGGCGGGGGTCGGTGCTGAGGGACTACGGAAGGACTGACAGAGCGAAGTGAAAAGCGGATTTCGAGAGGTCTTAGTGGAAGGAGCAGCCAGCCTTCCCTGCCCCTCGCTACTGGGACTATTTCTGTCCTTGATCCTGGGAATAGGGGTGGGGGGCGGTGGCTGGAGTGATGCTATTTGTTTCTGTTCCGGGCAGTTATCTATGTTTTCTCCTCCGTCTGGAGGTGAAGAGACCTTAATTCTGTTTTGGGTTTCCCCCACTTAAGAAGACTGTAGCTTAGAACATTCTTTCGCAATTCCTCAATGTCAAGTCTTCAGTTTGCCTCTTTGTTCGTGCAAAGGTCCTTCCATTTAATCTTTAAACAGAGAGGAGTCTTTAGTAAATCAGGATTCCTCCAGATCTCGTTTTTGCAAAGTGACTTTGGGGAAGTGGGCAGACAGGAGAATCTGTTTCAGTAGCATCTCCGATCACTCTTTTTGCATGTGGGTGATAAATTGTTGCTAGCTGGAGGATATGAAAGTACTTTTTTTTTTTTCCTGTGCATCAAAGTTACTTTTAACCCAGAAAGGATGGGGTACATTTCCTGATGGCTTTGAAGAGTCTTGAAACAAAACTGACTCCTTACTGTACTTCCCCTGATGCCTATTGCGTCTCTGCCAGCCACCTTGGATGCCCTCCCTTCTAAAGTCAAGGGTTCAAGGGTCCTGGACACCTTTCTCTTCCAACATTGTTGAGATCCTTTTGATTTTATGGATGATCTGGTTGTAGGAGAACACTGAATATCTTAGGCAGCTAAACTTCTCATTTGCATTTTATTTTATTGTTTTCATTTTTAAGATGTTAGTTTCAAGATTTTGTCGTTAAGTCTATTCCTGGAAAGGTTTTCTGGGGAGTAGGGATTAAATCCCTGAGTTTACCAGAGTGTTGTCGGGTGAGTAAATACTTAAAGGTGCTGGACAATAGCGGTAAGGTTCATTATCCTGTATTGCTAGTTGATAACGAAAGAAAAGCTTGTGGGAGACTACATTTGTGTGGAAGTATTTGTTTTGTGTCGTGTCTCGCCTGATTCTGATTTGCCATATACTGTAAAAGTGTGTATGTGAAAAGCAAGAAATGAGCACAAGTGGAAACTCCCTCTTTTACACGTACCATTTTTCTCCTGAAATGTGAGTTCTGCGTCTCCTTCTGCACCTCTGTCCCCAACTTTTTATAGCACCCCCTTTTACAGCACTCTGTGTATTTATATATAATGTTAACTTATGGCCGTTTCAATCAGAATAACTAAGATTTGGAATAAATTCATGCATTATAGCTATTGTTGACACTTAGCTCTGGTTTGACTTTGAAAAGAAGAGGACACACAAGATGCAGATGCTGTAGAAAAAGAATTGACCGTGCACAGCTAATTTTAATTTTTCTAAGTTAAATGACCTATTTAGACAGGTGATTCAAATTACATCGTTTTTAAAAGGTCTGGAAATACTTTGCAGGTGCTTTCTCAACAACATATTCTTTAGTGTTTGATTTTTATGAGATTTCAAACTCTAACCCCCCACTTTTTCAAAGGACAGAAAGAAAATGATCTTTGAGAAAGAAATGCTAGCTTTGAAGTTAATATATTAACTGCAACAATTACAAGGGATCTCCCCCTGCCCCCACCCTTTTCTCTTTCTGGAATAGAGCACACAAAAATTATCTGACCCGCAGTAGTGAAATATAATGTTGTTCTCAGGCATTTGACATCAGTATCTATCCTGTTTTCCATGTCATATAAAATGTGATAGTTTTTGTACTAAATAAAATGTAAAGACATTTACCTCAATTGGAGAAGTCTAGATCCTTAAGTGATATCCTTTTTAAAACCTTTGTTTGCATTTATTTGGTATTTTATTTCTAGGTAAACTATAGGACATGATTTTGTTCATTAGTGAAGTATATTAATAAAAGAAGAATGGATTCTGATGACAGGTCAAATAAGAATCTGTCACAGATTTTTAAGGCGTGACATATAGAAGATATTTCTAAATAATGTTACATTTAACATGGATTTTCAGGTTTTATTTTTAAATTAAATCTCATGATACAAACAAAAAATTTAACATGATCTATTGTAAGTTTCTTTGAAAGTTTAGTCTAGCGTTTAGACTATTCCCCTTTAATATTAAGTAGCCTTCTCCTACCTATTGTTTAACTGTACCTAGGCTAATCTCTGGTGTAATTTGCTAAATATGAAAGATGAGACCTTAATATACTGAGACCCTATTGGAGACTGTTTATCCCTCATTAGAAATCACTTGTGTGTTTAATTATCTAAGCATTTTTAATATACTAACATCCTATTATAGTCAGGTAGAATATAAAATCCTATTTCAAGTGATATATTAAGATGACAAAACAGGATTTCTTATGGTATTACAATATAAATAATTACTATTTTTATGATTCTGAATGATGAACCAGAAAAATTTATTTATTTATTGGACCTGAAAATTATGTTGATCATTCACCTAGGTATGTGAAGCACACTTAATTAATTGAGCTGTTATGAACACCTTGCCCTTTCCCTCCCCACTTTAAATCTTGTTCAAACACAGTATGAAACTAGGAAACACAGAATTAGGAATTAGAAGCTAATATATCACACTGTCTTTGGATGTAATCCTGTGCATACAGACCATGCCTTATATGAACACTGGAGACATAAAAATAATACATAAAGAATGATAATCAGAGATGTAAAACTTTCCTAAATCTATAGAAAAGCAATTTATTCATAAGGAAAAAAAAGACTTCTTTCTGTGTGATTTCTCTAACACTAAAAGGAAAGGAATATATTTATAATTGGTCAAGTGGGTAATAAAGTTCAGTTTTAAAAAATCAGGATGGAAAGGGAAATTTCTTCCCCTGGGAACCTGATTTTCTGCTTCTGTGTTCTTGTTTTCTTTAAGGCAGTATTTCATTTGGTTTCTGAGTCTACTAATAATCACATTTATAAAAGTGTTTTGTTTTGTTTGTCATAGTGACTGTAAGCCATACCTTGAATTGTTTCCAGAAGCCCATGTGTTCACCATATTAGGCCAGAGAAATCTTTTGTTTTCTTTTTCTTTTTATAAGCTGAACTATTCAGGTGGAATTTAAAGTTTTGTAGACATCCATCATTGATTTATTGGTCCAAGGAAGCAGATGAGGAAAGATACTTGCTTTCATCTGTGGAGATGGGACACCTGATCCAAGTTGAATTTTCTTATTAAGGAGGGATGAAGACAGAAAGGGTTGTACTCCCCAGACTCCTTATCTGTATCATTCTGAGTGTACCAACAAGAAGGGCCACCAAGATGGCAAGGCTTTATGGCAAGGGGCAAGGGCTGAATTGTTTAGTCTGTTACCCATAGGCTCCCAGCTTCAGTTCTGCCAAATTCTATTTATCCCACTTGCTTTCTTAAATTTTATAATTTTGTTGTTTAGGTGAGATGAGAATCACCAAAGGTAATCACTATATTTCTTAGCCTGCAAGAAGAGCCTGTGAAATGTTATACCATCCTATTTTGTGGTACCCTCCTCTTTTCTTATAGATCTCATTAGCATTTGAAATTACAGTACATTTCCATGTTTATTTAATTTCTGTCTTCTCTAGTACATTGGAAGTTCCATAAAACCTTGTCTGTTTTTCTTTATATAGCATAGAGGTCAAAGCATGGAAATTGGAATTCAAAGATGTGGGTTTGAAGCCTGGCTGTGACACTTATGGACTCTGTGACCTGGGGAATTAATCTTTCTATGCTTTAGTCAGTCATCTGCAAATATGCTTGTAATTGTACCCGTCAGGAAACTGGCACAAAAACTAAATGAGCTAATGTGTATACTTAGTGCCTGGCTTATAGTAAGCAGGCCCTCTGTGAGTGTTGGATATGGTTGCTGTTTTTGTCTCATTATTATTCCTATGTCTTGGAACATGGTAGTATGTGTATATCTGGTACATAGTAGGTATTCAACAAATTTTTGTTGAGTTAATGAATAAAATAAGAATGAATAATTGAGTGAAGAATGAACAGAAAAAGGACCTTAAATTTCCCATGTGTTGTGCTGGGCACAGTGGCTCGGACCTGTAATCCCCATACTTTGGGATGGCAAGGCAGGCAGATCACCTGAGGTCAAGAGTTCAAGACCAGCCTGGTCAACATGATGAAACCTCATCTCTACTAAAAATATGGCTCATGCCTGTAATTCCAGCACTTTAGGAGGCCAAGGCAAGCAGATCCCCTGAGGTCAGGAGTTCGAGACCAGCCTGGCCAACATGGGAAACTTCGTTTCTACTAAAAATATAAAAATTAGCCAGGTATAGTGGTGTAAACCTGTAATCCTAGCTACTCAGAAGGCTAAGGCAGGAGAATCACTTGAACCTGGGAGACAGAGGTTACAGTGAGCCAAGATCATGCCACTGCACTCCAGACTGGGCAGCAGATCAAGACTCTGTCTCAAAAAAATAAAATAAAATACATTTCCCATATGTTGTGGTGAGAAGTGAATGTTGTGTGCTTTGAAAGCTGTGATACTCATTTCTCACTGGTGTGTGGCATCAGTAATAGTGACTGCACTGAAAGAACTATTCCTTGTTATTTGATGACAATGGTTGTGACTTGACAACCTAATTTGTGATGAACTTTTTCCTAAACAAGAGGCTTTTCTGATGTGTAGGTAATGATCTTTATTACAACATTGGGAAATAATCACATCTCAGGCTTCATCAAATTTTCCCTTACCATTTATTTTTTTCATTTAAATAACTCATATTCCAAATGGAGG